AGCAACTTATGGATTACAACTCACACTCAGGTGCAGTTAACCCAGGAGGTGGTTATCAAAATGCCAGTTACTCAGGCAGTGCCAATAAAGTAATCAGAGGGACAACTATCTTATTCATGTCCTAGTATGTCTTAAGGAGAGGCCCAAGAACTGTAGAGCCAAGTGGAGCTGCAAGTCTGAACAAAAGCTCAGACAGATGTTAGAGTAGACTGCAGAAAGTCAAGAGTGTCATTTTAACCTACACCTAATTATACCTTTTTCATAAGTTCCCCTTTTCTGAATTCCTCCAAAGGAAAAATTACCCAAAATGTATGTATGTGTCTGGGGAAAAAACAAACAAACAAACAAACAAAAACAAACAAACAAACAAACAAACAAAAACACCCAACAACTTAGCACTTCTTGCTATAAATCAGATGTGAAACCTTGCCTTCTGATTGGTAGTGGTTGGTGGTTTTTTGTTTGTTTGGTTGTTTGGTTGGTTGGTTTTTTAAACTTTACAGCACTTAGGGTAGTACACAAAGGGTCATGCCCTTTCTTTCAGCATTAATGTGAAACAGTGCAAGTCCAGTGAAGGTGCAAAGCTGTGTGTCACTGCTGGTCAGGTAAGGCTAAATGCATCCTGCAAGCTACTCACTGTTAAAGTCAATGTTAGAACAACTGAAATAATTTAAGCAACTCATACTCCAACTGCACGAAGTTTAGCCAGTAAGAACGACTTAAAAAAAAAAAGACAAAAATCTACCAACTAGGCTGAGCCGCCATCCTCTCCATGTAATCCTTGGCCATGCTGATGGCCTCAATGTTTTCCGGGTAGAGCACACAGAACATGGCCAGGGCCCCGAGGTTGTTGCCGTAAATCTCGTTCCACCTAGCGCTGAACTCCTTGGGGTCCCAGGGCGGGAGGTACTCCAGGGGGCTGGACAGCATCGTCTGCACGGCCTCAGCCAGACGGGCGGCGATGTGCCGGTGCGTGGTGGCCGCCTGGAGGCGCAGCGCCTCCACCTCCCCTCTGGAGAAGTAGAGCATGGGGTAGCTGTCGTAGTTGGCGTTGACGAAAGGAACCATGGCGTCCGGCTCCTCCCTGGCACCGCAGGCAAAGGCGAAGCAAATGGCGTGTATGAAAAACACACTTGGGGCTCCCCGTGTGTGAGTCCTCATTGTGGCATCAGACCTCCAAGTCTCAATGGCAGCCAAACCATCTTTGAAATATCCTGTGGTAAATGGACGAGAAAGAGAAAGTTAGAAAATTACTCCGTCAGATGCCATAATTCAGGATGCTCTCTAGGAAATGTGATTCCATCTGGGCTTTAAGAACCCTACAGATTGTCCAGGTAGCCTTCAGATCATTTCTAAATGAATACTTCAGGCAAAATACCTAATGATCAAATCATCCTAAAGAAAAACCTGTACACTTTGAGGAAAGCTCCTCCCTCCCACTTCTTTCCCTCTAGTAGCTGATACTGACAGCTCTTGTGCTTGAGATTTCAAATAATTGCAACGACGCCTAGCATGAGGCAGTGCTGACTGTACTGGCAAGCAGAGAAGTGTGGGAGGGGAGGAGGAAGGGGGTGAGCTGGGGAGGTTGTGCTGGCGGCAGCCAAGCCTGCGTGCTGCCTTGGCTGATGTTACCAGCTGGAGAGGGAGGGATGAGGAATGCTGGAGGTTTGCGCCGGGGTCATTTTATACGGTGCTTGAGGCCTCCGGTTCTGACACGTCCTCGTTTGCAAAAAAAAAAACCAAGTTCAGAAAGAAAAACGATAAAGATAAAGCAGCAGAGCCTTAGGAAGACAGATGAAATACCTTGCCTTCAGGGCATTTAGGGGCTTTGCATTATTACCGTTACTGTTATTATTATGAGGGGCTCTCCATTTTGCATGTGGAGATTTACTGCCAGATACGAAGAAGGCTGAATGTTGAATTCCAGTGTGTATTTTCCTGCCTACATGACTTCTCAAAATGTGCTCAAGTGGCCAATCTATGCAAGGGTTAAATTCAAGTAAAACATAGTAAGTTCCTTCATTAAAATTACCAGCTATCTAGCCTGAAGTCTCAGATGAAACATGGCCACGATCCTCCAGAGGGAAGCCAGCAAATTCCAAGAATACTTCTGAGGGGAAAGGTTACAGCAAGCAGACCCAAGAGAGACAGTTTTATGTAAATAACGAACAGTAGTTTTCAATTATTAAAAGGAAAAATAGACAGAAGGAAAGAAAACCTAAAAACAAATATGAAATCTTTTTTTCCATGGAAAACCTGTTTCATAGGATTCAGTCATAAAGCTCGTAAGAAGCTGAAGTACAAAGCAACCTTTTATTTCTCCCCACAGCTTCCTACCTATAGATGCCAAAATATTCAAACAGAAACCTAGGCTGCTAAAACCTTAGAGATCCACATCCTGATTCAACAACATCATTAATATGTGCAAGGACAATGAGAAAACCTTGACAGACTGGGTCCCTCCATGACTACTGGGTGCACAGACCCTCGAGGTGCATGTGTTCACCTCCTGAAATCAATTTGGGAGTAAGCATTTTTGGCCAGAAAGTACATCTTCTCTTCTGCATTCCTGTCTAGGGTAAAAATTATATTGCACCCTGTAACTGCCTACATTTACATATTACAGTGCATACTATAATTACTTTAACAGAGCTTAATGGAAGATGACATTTTCATAGTATTTTAAGTAAATTTTGCCCTTTTTTGGAAGTAAACCAATCATTACAGGATACATTACGCACATCACAGGGTGGTTTATTTGTGAATACTTCTACTATATCTACATAGTCTCTCAGCACATATACACATACAGAGAAAGATGCACCACAGTTTATCCAGACATACAAGTGTACTCCTGTTCTCTCCTGTCTATAAATAAGGAAAAAAATACAACAGTGTATTTTGAAAGGAAGAAGGTAAAAGCCAGCCAATCCAGTACATTATGTTTGAAATGTGATGTCATTATTTTAACTGTTGAAAATGGCTGGTTTTTCATAATTAAAAAAACCCACCATTTTTTTAAAGCCTCTAGAACTGGGAGCAGAGGAAAGAACCTAAAAATATATGACCAAAATGCAAAAAATGTCTCTAACATTTTCTCTGATGATCATACATTGAAAGAAACTTCCCAGCTTACACCATCAGAAAAAAAATCTAGCTAGCAGTAAGGACTTCATGCATTCTTTTCCTTGGTTTGATTTCTCTAAATACTTCTGCACATCAGTGAGAATTAAGCACATACATAAATTTAGGGATGGCTTCTGCCCCCACATTAGGGAATACACAGTAAGGTTCCCGAGAACTCCTCCTTTGTAGATCTGGACATACATTTCTCAGCATTTCACCACCGTCAAACACCTCCAGTTTCGTCTAAAATTCATAGTCTGTATTTTCAATAACACCCATTCAGTAACACCCCTCCCCCATTTTCTCACTTATACATGTGTGCATTTAACAGAGAAGGTAAACCCCTCGTTTACCTTGTCCATGAGAAGCAACCACCATACTATGCTGTTTAGACTAACAAAAGCATAACCGGACAAATCGATCTATAATATATTCATAAGCATCATGTCCAGAGTCAAGATCTGGAAGGAAGTCAACAGGCAGAGACAAAAGCAGGACTACAAAGTCATGCTTACTTATTCTTGATTAAGCCACACCAACACCCTTCCTATGATATGAAGACAATAACCCACGGCAGTCACGACTGGGTAAGGACACAGAGCCCTGTCCCATAACTTTGCAGGACTCAGCCTGGTGTGACTGGTGGATTGGAGAAGGCAGCTAGAAAAGGAGTCCACCTTCCTTTCCATGGAAACCTCTGTGGAGGCACCAGCCACAACTAAGTGGAGGGAACTGCTGATGCAAGGCCCCAGGATGGCAAGACTATGAGTCAAATCGTTCTACAGAGAGCAAGGGAAAAGACAGATGTTCCACATTTTGTCATCTGTAATGACCTTAAAAGCAGGACCAGCAAAAGTAATAATGAAAGCAATCACAAAGCTCCAAACAGAATAAACATATGGATTTGCAATAAAAACTGTCACCCAGATAGTGAAGAAATACAAACTGGATGGTTCTGGATACAGTCACAAAAAACCACCCCTGCAAGGACTTCAAATGGCAGAACTGCCTTCAACCACACACATCATCAAGCACTTAATTGACTAATACTAGATGTGACCACACACTTCATTGCCTTACTGACTCATTCAAGGTAACTCTGTAGGGCTGATGGGCATGATCACCATTCCTCAGCTCAGCAGCTGTTTAGGAACTACGCTGATCGATAAGATACATATAAAGCCACTTCAAAAATTATCATGTGGTTGCAAAAGAACCAAAGCACCTTCAGAAGAAGAAAGTGACAAAACCCAGCAACATCTAGGAACTATTTAGAATTCATTACAATGGTATACACATACCTCAGGGGGGAAAAACCAAACCACCAAGCCAAAAAAAATTGAAGCAGAATGCACATTCAACTGTGTTGAACTCTGTATTTTGAGGTTTCCTTAGTTAACTTACTTGCATACTGAAAGCTAAAGAAATGCATAGGATGGTTCAAAGACATGCATATGAACCTTGATTATCTGCATAGCTGAGGTGAAGCCAGGCAGGTATAGATAACTGGCTGCATAAGCTCCAACTTGGCAGTTGTGAGTGAACCTGCCACAAGTTTGTGTGATACACAGGGCTCAAACGAATAGGAGCTGGGGCCTTCTGATAGCTGAAATTGCACTCACAATAGCATTTTTTAAAGTTAAAAGAATTTCTTACTCTCATATTACACTATGTCATTACCAGCCAGATCTTCCAAGTAAAACTTTACCAAGCAACACAACCTTTTCTGAAAATGAGAGGGTTTTATTCAGCTTGGAAACCATGACCTGATAAAGTATTAAAAATTAAGAGGAGAGTGAAGGATGCTTGACCATGGAAGAAAAGGCTAATATACAATGGGCTTTGAAAAGGTTGTCACTTAGACCTAGATTGAAAAAGCATTTGTCATGATTTCCACTCCATTGCCAGCAGAAACAAACAGCAAAGAACACCAATTATTCTAGAAAAAACTGACTAAATCTTAACTATTTCAGTTCTCCCTATCTAAACATCAATGAGTAGATGTTCAACTGCAGGAAAAAAATAGGATTGTAAAACTCATGCCAGTAACTGAACTGGACATTGTTTTATGCAAATAAGTTCACCAAATAAACTTGGTTTGATGCTCTATTTAAATAAAAAGAGACACCCTGTTTACTGCTGCCACTTGTACCCAGAAAGAGCACTCCAGCAGTGAAAGCAGAGGAGTGGGAGATGGGCAGCGGAGGGGGGTGAGGAAAGGACAGCACTCTTGGGATCATCAGCTGGCACACCTATCCTTCTTGTTTTTATTTTTGTAATGATCCACGTGTAAAGAATTGTGGCTTTCTGCAGTATCAGTTCTGACGAGCCACTGTTCTTTATGGATGCTTTTTGCTGGGACAATACTCATACCACTTCTTAAAATGCAGCAATTGTAGGTTTCTCTGCTAGCATCTCCAATGACTCACCTCCAACATGTGTATCTCATGAAAATTCACAGCCAGGAACAGAAAAGATGAGATTTCTGGTGATTAAAACCTCCATGAACTGCAGGCATCACAACATCAGAGATTACTCAGGTTTCTGAATAAAAGAGCTTCCCAGAGCCCAGGGCTAGCACATGGACAAGTAAGCCCACTCAGTCACATCAGGAGTGACTGTCACAGCACACAGCCTGCACTTGCTGAGGCCTTGGGCCCCCCTCTACCTCACTGTATAACCTGTTGAGGTCATGGGCCCTCTTCCACCCCACTGTGTGACCCACTGAAGTCACAGGCCTTTACTTTGCTGTGTACCCTGGGGAAGGCTAATGCTCAAATAGGAACAGGAGTCTCCAGACAGAAGTAGGTGTATGGAGGTACACCCTTGGGCTTCCCACTCCTGTTCTGTCTTCTCCTTCTAGGTTGCTCAAGAGATGCTGTAAGCAAATTCCTGGCACCATGGCTGTGGATATGCTGGCTTGCCTCTGAATCCCCCCCACCCAAAGTGCCTAGCTGCCTCCAGAGAGGTAGAGAAGCCCTGACACTCAGCTCAAGTACCCAATCTCTATGCCTGTAAGGAAAAAAAATAAAATT